TTTTACAGTTAAAATAAATGTTTATCAAATAAAGTCTAATGTTACAACTAATCCTGGATCCCTGTAAAGTTTTGGCTGCAGCTCCCACTGTGAGGACTTTAAAACTAAATGTTTTCCTCTTGTTGCTTCCAGGTATCAGAACCTGGAGACTTTCATCATCGATGTGAACTTGGTGTTTGATAATTGTGAAAAGTTCAACGAGGACAACTCGGACATCGGGCGCGCCGGTCACAACATGAGGAAGTTTTTCGAGAAGCGCTGGACTGAGCTTCTGAAGCAAACTAACTGAAACCAGTTTCACACCGGAGCGTCGCGTTTCACTTTTTATTTCTAAATCTTTTCTGATGGGAGTTTGCGGCTTTGCAGGACGGAAGAAAAAGTCCGCAGCTCCGAAACGAGGAGCCCATTGTGTGTGTAAGAACGACATCACCTTAAAATGTTTTCAGAAAAAGGAAAAAAAACAAAAAAACAACAATGTTACATGAGGTGCGCTGGATTTATTACAACAGGGATAAAAGCCCCAAAGAGTCCCAGAGAAACGGGGTGTCCGAGTGCAATACCATTCCCTGTGTGAGAACACTGCACTGAACGCTCAACCGTCACCGACGTGTTTCCACTACCTGTACAGTCTTTTCTTATTTAATCATATTATAGTGAATGTATTTAATTTTGTATTAATTATTTATGAATCAAGGTCCACTTCATTTTCTATGAAAAAGGAGAAATCATCGAAACTGCTTTGAATTTTAAAAACAACAAAAAAAGGAATGTGTTGTTGTGTTATAATTATTATTTTTTTTGRCTCCCAAATATCCGACAAAGCCAAGAAAAGAAAAAAAAAACCAACCTGTTTACACTGTTCAGAGGACTGTTTCCATTTGTTCAAACTGCATTTATTTACAGGAACAGTTAAGAGAAACCGTGTGTATATACTGTTTATTATTGTCAATATTTACGTCTCGTTTGGAACAATGTGTAAAAAATGGTTTAAGAATATTAAGATATTGTTTATGCCTTAGAATGATTGTAGCATTCTATTTTAGTGAACGTGATGAAAGCATTATCATAAATATTGTTTGTACAGTAATATACATATCCTCTGCAAACACTGTGGTATCCTTAATCTTGGTAGTGCCTACCCTTCCAACAGGGGTGTGTAGGGGATGTTGTTGTTTTTTTGTTTTGTTTTGTTTTCATTCTTATGGTTATTTTTTAAAGCTTTGATTTCAATCCAACAGGGCCTCCAAACGTCGGACAGTGACTCAGAAATCATTCCTCGCCGTAAAAAAAGAAAAGAAAAAAACAACAACAACAGGACGACGAGCGCTCGGTTCTGCTTCCACTCACATTTCCTCAGATTCTGCCACAATACAGAGGACCTGCGGCCATTTTGTAACCACTGTGTTGAACCTTCGCTGTGTGTCGTGGCCCGATGGAGGCAGCTAGATTTTTTTGTACCCAAGTCAAAAGTACTTGAAGTTACTTTATTTAAGATATTGTGGAATAAAAGTATCATTCTTTTGTAGGAGCTTTATTTTTCACTAGTGTGTGGCACGGACCTATTAAAAGGATGTTTTTTCAACGTAATCGTCTTAAATTTGTTTTGTTTTAAACAAKAAACATGGCTTTTTATTTTAAAGAAATGCTTTCTCTTTATTTTGAAGTTCAATATGTTGCATGGCCAGCTGCGAAGCAGGAGGAAAGGAGAGCGGAAGAAGTGGAGAACTTATAACAGCAGAACAGGTTGGAAGATGGTTTTTTGATGTTATTTATTGTTTTTTTTTTAACATCCTACAGACTCTGACCTGTGAAATTAATTTGGAATTGAGGTTTTGAAAAAATCCGTAAAAGTTGCAAAAAAAAAATCTGTAAGATTGCTCTATACGCAGGGGCGGAGCCAGGGGGTGGCCAGGGGTGGCCATGGCCACC